CATGCTGCTATGACGCATTCCCAATTACTTGTTTCTAAACACACCTACTGGTTAAATTTAATATGTATTTGTTTTAAAAGTGAGATTTTCTGACATTATATTTGTTTTAGATATGTATCACGAGCTTGAATATAGACCTAAATTACACTGTCAAGGATTTAAAAAACAGCAACATGGTCTCACAGCTATCAATTATGAAGCCGACATATTTACTAGCTGAGCCACAGAACAGCAGGCTCATTGTTGTGCAAATCATTCAGAGGTCCTTTTTTTGTTGTTTGTTGTTATGAGAAAATTAATGAGTTTACTTTACAAATTACAAGTTAAACTCTGCTTCTCCTCTGCCTCTGAGATATTCTGTGAGCGAACTATGTGGTCTTTGCGTGCCACTCACAAACTCAATCAAAGAAGTGCTGCTGCTCTATGAGAGTGAAGATGTGTGTAGAAATTACAAATCATGCTATACAACTGACAGTTTTATGAAAACAAACTGAACTTTGGCTCTGCCGATATTGGGAAAACAGTGCAAATGTTTGTCCACGCTTCAGAAACGAGTGGATTCCGTCTGCCAGAACGGCGCCAGTAATGCCTCTAATCTGTGTTTTTTTTTTTGTTTGTTTGTTGTTTTTTTGCCTCTCTCATGAACAAAATTGAAACTGCTCCGGGAAAATCACAAAGATAAAATTCATCCTTAGTGATTCAAATGAACCTGTATTTGAATTTCAGACTACATTTCTGCCTTTTTTTATTTATTTTTTTGCCACTTTTTTAAGGAGCTTTAAAATGTTTACTTCAAAGTGAAGACTAATAGCACTTTTAAACCAGACACTTACCACTTTGTGTTAACCTAGATTAAGCTGTATCTTCAATATCTTCAAGCCAGAGCTGGAAATTGATGTATCCCTGACTCAAGTTTAAATTAGGTCTAAACTCTGTCATTACATTGAAATTTGGGCTATTGCTTAGTGGGATACATGCTGGAGCATCATTTACCAAAGGGAACTTATCTTCCTATGCCATTAAATGGAAGATGTGCAGTACTGTGAAAGATGTATTTAAATTTTAGAAGTGTTGAGTGGTAAGACTTTAATATGCCTAATTTATGTTTGTTTATTTGTTTTGCTTAATTTGCCACAAGTGTGTAGATTTTAGCTTGATTTGATTTTTAACTTTTTATGGATGAATTGTTCTTCAGATCGTCCTTTGGAAAGAAAAGGCAGCAATTCCTCCTTCAGATTGAATTAGACAGATTGAGACAAAGTTGGGAGACACTTTTTGATAGATCGAGAGTCTAATTGGATGATTCTCAATATAATCAAATGCCATTTAACTTGACTATAGCAAAGTATTTGAAACCAAAAATGGAAAATCTTAAAAACACATTTCATCTGTGGTAAAAGAAAAGCATATAGAGTATCTTTCACAGTATTTTGTCTCCCAGTTGTGAGTTCATTGGATGCTTATGTGTGCTATCTTTTCAATTGACTTTAAGAAATTTACATTAGATTTTGTCCAATTGTTCATTTTGAACTCCAAAATAAATTGATCTGTTTTTATGCCCAGTGGTTATTATGACCTCGTCTCCGTTGTTTATTTATTTATTTTTTTTATTCAAACATGATTTATTGCCGTCGCCCGGAGTGAATTTCATCACATTTGAATATTTATGCTCAGATTCGGTAATGGAGTCATTGTCACAAAAGGGGATGGTGGTCATTTAGGACTCAAAATGCAGGCGAAAGGAGGCAGAGGCGGAGCGAAGATGAAGATGTCCGATAATACAAAAAGAAACGACGGACAACAACGTGTGCAATCCAAAAAAATCTGAACTGAAGATGATGACCATCAAACTAGGCAGACTACACCAGGACTGAGCCAATGAGCAGCCAGCATCGACTACAGAGGGATACGTACTGAGTGGGACAAGAAACGGAGGCTAATGAGCAGAGTGGAACCAGCTGAGAGTGCAATCAGCGAACAGAGAGAGAAAGTATCAAATAATCACAGAATGATTGGAAGAACAAGAACTAATAAAAATACAGACCAGAAACTGACAGAAGCTAGTAAGACAGCAAGGATAACTCTAAATGCAAAAGAAATTTAACTACCCAAACATGATAAACAAACTTCAAATGTGGCAGTCAGGATAGTTGTGAGGACAAACATTTTACACCCACAACAGAGAAGGACTGATGGTTTGCAGATGAAAAACGTGGGGTCCATGATATGATCTAAACTGGTTAGCTAGCCCTTTTTGCTTATTGTTACCTTATTTTTAGATACACAGCTTGGTTCCATGTTTCTATCGTTCACCAGAAGCCTCTGTAGCTTTCAGCAAGTAGGCTGCTGTGACGCCAGAGAGAACTGGTGCCTTTTGAAATAAAAATTAACAAGTAATGATGTATAATGACACAAAATGATGAATATAATTAGGAGTCAGCCTCTGTACTACGAATTTGCTTTTCCTGGAATGGTAATTTGTTTTATTTTTATTATAACTGAGGGTAACATACTCATATGATTTTTGCTATAAAATCAAGTACAATAGGCCTGTAAACTATGTAATACTTCCCCTTTAAAATATAACTAGAGGTTTTATTTACCTAAAGAGAATATGCTGCATTCTTGTATGTAGCAAGCAAATGTAGTTTTCACCACGTCTTACCTTTTAATAAGCCTTATAAATTTAAATTTAGTGTATTCTCATATTACCAAGTATTTTGCTCAGACCAAGCATGTAAGTCCATTCAATAAATCTATCTTGTAATTGATTTGTTTACCAGATAGTTATTTAATGTTTCAATGACATGAAAAACTGTTTTCAACAGTACCAAATGAAATTTTATTTTATTTTTTTTTATTTTTAGTTTTTTTTTTTTTTTTTTTTCAAAATGATCCAGTAGACTCCAGACCAGATAAATGCTAGATGAGAAAATCTATCTCATGTTTTTTTCCATAACAACAGGAGATAGCAAACATTTCTAACAGTAATCTAGCATGCAATGTATGCATTTCTGACAAGATGGAAAGATTTTGACAAGGCAGTAGATTCCTATATATTCCATATTAAACTCTATGTATGGCTGCTCTCAAACTGAACATTAAATAGTCCTTATTCTGGGTTAGGGGGTTAGAGCAGAGGTGCCGCTCAAACGCTTATAGCCCAACAACTGCGTAAGAAATACCCAAAGCTTGTAAAAATGAGGTGTTGCAACCCAGGATATTCTGTTAAAGTTCTGGTTTTGGTAATTGAGCCTTTTTGGACATATTGTACAGTGAAAGGATTGGGTAATTGGATCTTTTTTACTGGCTCTGTGTTTTGTTGTCCTCACACTTTCATACTGTGGTTTGGATGGTGTCTACACAGTGCAGCCCAAAGTTTAAAATCCCTAAAAACGCAGAAAATGTGGAAGGCAAAAGTAATCTACTGACATAGAGTTTGCTTGGTTTTTCTACTTAGAACTGTGAATTTGCCGTCACGCAGATTTCTTACATGCAAACCAATCTGAACCGATGTGGAAAAAGGAAGCTCTCCTCCCTTGTTGAATCATAAACTATAAGGGAACAACCCCTATTTCAGAGGGAAGGTGAGGTGTTAACAGGACCACCCATATACAATTAGGAAATCACTTAAGTATAATTTGTTTGGGACCATGAAGTTGTCTGAAAAATCAACACATCGTCACAGCTGTGGGACTCCAGCAGGTTACCTTGAATACTGAAATTGTTTCAAAAGCAAAAAGCAACATCTCATCCTGGAGGTCACAGCATAACCCAGCACAGCAGAACCTAAAGCACCAAAGGCCTCACTTGTTAAAGTCGATGTCACGATGGAGCAAAAAGAAAGGAAGTGAATTGCTCCTAACTCATCAACTTTGAGGTCAAATATTCTCTTGCTATCTAACATATCCCACCCAGTAAGATGTGGTGTGATGAAGTGATAATTAATGGTATTTACGCCACATCAATGCTCATAATATTATGGCTGATCAACATGAAGTTTTGATTGTGTTCTGTGTCTGAGGGATAAATGAAAAAAAAAAAAAAAAACATTAGCTGGGGCTCTGAATGCATTGTGTACCCAGAAAATAGCTTCATGCAACAGGAATTGATAAAGATCTGATCATGGAAGCGTGACAAATTTGCAAGGAGAAAGGACAGAAATATGATATACAGTTGTTTTTTTTTAAGTTGTATGGAAGCTTTTTAATAAATCATATATGGAAAAAAAGAATAAAAAAATCCCCTCTTTGTGTGTTTTTCTTTATCTAGAAACAACTTTGCATTGCTCAAAAGTTGTGTGAAGATTATGCACTCTATTCATTATGCAGAGCCTCCTCCTGCTCTGCTTCTACAAAAGGAGATGTCAGATTTGCATACTCTTTCTCTCTCTCTCTCTCTCTCTCTCTCTCTCTCCCTGTTGTTTTGAAGTGAGTCTTTATTATGTCATTTTATGTCAGGCACACATTTGGCTTCGCCGTCTGCAATATCTCCAAGAGCCACAGCAGGCGAGACTTAGCTGAGTGTTCGGCAATTCCTGTCTCTATTTGCTTTCTCTCAGCAGGTTGTCAACAAATAATCGGTTTCCATACAAATGATGTTTCTGTCTTTGTCATTTAATTGTTGCCGGTCTTTGTGCAGCGGATCAAACACAGGGAGCGATAACAATACGCTGTTTCAATTAAATTCACTCATGTGTGACTTATGCTTGAAGAATTGCTTTCTGCTCCAGTCAGAAATGTTATGGACTTTACAAAGCAATATTTATGCAAACATATGACAGACATGGAGAGGTTCTGCATTGTTCAACATCATTCCGCTGTCATTTACCTTGATCTGAAATTACTGACCAACCATTTATGCGATGTTCAATGGTGTACGTGTTTTTTTTTTTTTTTTCCTTCTTCTTCTTCTGTATGTCAAATTGTGTGTGCACCGTCTCGCTTTTGGAATTTCTCTGATGTTTTTTCATCTCTTACTCCGCTGCCTTTGTCAAACAGACTTGGAGAATTTCAAGACCCAGAGAAGAAATCCAGTGAGAGTTCGTGAAGGTCAAGGAGTGGTTCTTCTGTGTGGCCCACCCCCTCACTCAGGAGGTAAGATTCTCTGGTGTTTTAGTCACGTGACGGCAAACCTTTAAACATAGCATTTTTATACCTGATATATGTAGTTTGATATGCATGAGGAGACTCTCTGTTGCTGGTGGCTTTTTTTTTTTTTTTTTTCATTTTTTTGCTTGTGTCTGCTTGTGTCGTTGAAGTTAGTGGAGTGAGTCATTTTTATTGTGCAACATTTTGGCCTGTCAGCTTGATTTCTAGGAGGGTGAGGAAAGATTTGGCATGCAATCTGCAGAGAATATTTTTGGTTGGTACTCTGCTAAGCAGAATAACAAAGCTTTGCTCAGATGGTAATTCTCTCCCCCCTATATCACCTCTTTACATCTTTGGGAGTAAGTATCCAGCTCTTTACACCTACACATGGGTCTTAAAATAGACTCATTGTTAACATGCATTAACTTAGCTTTAATTGCAAGTGTGTCTACATGTAATTTTACAGTACAAACAGCTTAATCTCTGATTCAAAGCTGCAGTATGCAATGTGTTTTTAATTTTTTCATATATTAGTTAAAACCATCACTATGATGTGATAGTGTTATATGAGACGGATAATCTGTGAAAAAAATCAAACTCCTCCACCTCCTCCCGGCGCTAATGCACCGCTTCCTCAATCAGAGCCCTGACAGTCATCTTCGTGTTTGATCTGTTCAACGTACTGATTCTTTAGTTGGGGAAAAAAACCATGTTAAATAATGATATTTTTAAATAAAATCCCCAGTGACACAGTTCATAACACAGCTGTTGTTAACGCTTTGTATTAGTTTGTGTAGAATCTTTTGGTTAAGATATCGAGACAGTTTAAAATCCTGGTTCATCTCTTATTTTGAAAGGGTAATTGGCCCACATCATCCTAGTACCTCCACCATACCTAACAGGTGTTACCTACTCATCTATCATTTTATGCCAGATTCAACTGAAAGGTTTTTTTTTTTTTTCCAGATTGTCTGAAGCTTAGTGGCATCTAAACATTTCACATTTGTTTGTGTTTTGGAAAATTTTCAAAATATAGGATTTTAAATGCCTCAGAAACAATATGCTGACATATGATAACATCTGATGGTTGTTAATGTGACTTGTATCCCCAAGACATTATTCTTTACTGTGTTTGTTTTGCTACTTATTGCTATCTTCCTCACTCAAGTGAAAAAAAGCTGGATTCTTGTCCATCCTTGCTTATCACAGATCCAGTTGTTTTGAACTTATTTATTACTAATCGGACTTTGGACATGATTGAGTCTCAATGAAGACTAATTCCAACTTTATATTTTGTGATGATCTTGAATTAAATCTCTGTTTCCCATGTTTAAGAGTGGCAAAAAGAAATGTGATTGGATCACATTATGTTTGTAGTCCAGCGAAACATGAAGTCATGGATTGCTAATTAGACAGTGTTTAAAAATCAGATCAACATAAAAAGGTAAACTTTAGTTTGTTCGTACAAATAGCAACAATTTTGATACCAGTAATTTTTCCCACTTGGCAAATGTATTCAAAATAAAGGTTAGTTGTTTTTTTTTTTTTTTTACATCTTCTTTGTTTGTGTCTTAAATTATACTGCGGTGAAATAAGAGGAATTGACTGAAAGGCTTTTTAAATGTTTATATAAGGTGTGCCAATTAGTGTAGAGGCTGCAGTAGGTTGGTATCTTTTGAAGTTTCGTGACTCTGTGGTTAAAAATTATTTTCAACTCCATTGCAAATAGATAACTTTTCCCTCTACAGTCTGAAGCACGTCAGCATGCATTCTCCTGGAAATGTATCTTTGATGATTATTCAGCACGAATGCGGACGAGCTCATCATTTCTTCCACTTCTGTGTCTTTGAAGCTGGGAGTGCAGAAATCCTGCAACTGTGCTTCCTTTGACCAATGCTTGTCAGCATCAGTGAAACAGGTTTTAATTTCCCCCAGAACCATGCGGTTAATCGGTGCATAAAGGCGCTCGTACAGAAGCTGCCGGATTGTTTCATCTGCTCCGGGCAGTGTTGTAGCTCCCCCGTTTGACATTTTCCCATTCTCTAGAGTTCCGTTTGTTGGTCTTAATGTTGAGAAAATGTGGGGAATGAGTGTCTCTGCTAGGTAAGCAAAAACGCATCGGTGTGTTGTTTGCAAAGTGCTTCTGATGCGCTTTTCGGTTCCTTTTTAAAAAATTTTTTTTATGCAAATCTATAAAACACTCTCTTGTCAAAGTCAGCACTGAATGAAACATCAATGTTTCTAGCAGTCCTCTCTTCTTTTGAACATGTGCAAATCTAATTTTGACAGCCTTGATGCAGTTTGATCTACGCTTCCCCCCTTAAATCCCCCCCGGGGAGACGGGGGCTCTAGAACCACTTTAAAACAGACCAAAACGTGTCAAACTGTCAATCTAATTTGAAAACATATGAAGCGTGTTTATTGGGGGTGTTTGGTTATGAGATGACGATAATGTTTCATATTTTAATATCGGCAGTGGAGAATATTTCATAGTCATATTATGGATACATTTAAATGTCCCATTCCACGTTTTGGCTGCGGTGAACCTTGCTGTTTCCCCGCTGAGGGAAAAATGAGTCCTTAATCACATAACCACTTGGAAGCTTAATAGGAGTCCCACTTTTCCAGCGCTTTGTTCTGTTTGTGTTATAATGAGACGTCTTACCTCGTGTTGGAATATAAAAAGCTGGAGCAATGAGCCATATGCTTGCATTTGGCAGTTTGAATGTTTTTTGGACGACCCTTGCTGCAAGATACCCTCGTGCCTACGCTCCAGTCAGCAAACAGCTGCAGAATCAGGAGTGCTGGGGTTTAGTGTGACAACAGTGTCATAAAAAATATTTAAAGGTGTTAAAGGTGTCCCATTTTGACAGATTGGAAAGCACCAAATTAAATCTAACAGATTATTTATCATTTGTAAGAAAACAGATTTGTTTAGGATAATATCACATATGAAAAGTGTCTTGTGTCTCCGAGTGTGTCGTCTGTACTCGAGCCAATTTTTATAAATTGCAGGAGGAAATTGCTTCCTTTCTCTGAGTGCTGCGACAAAAGACAGTGTGCTCTTTAGATAGCCTTTCAGAGAGGGTATTTTTTTATTCTCTGGTGGAAATGGAATTAGTCAACCTAGGCTGACTTTTACTTGGATGGATTACATGTAAGGGAATAGACATACAGTAAACAAGTATAATGTATTTATTTGGAAATGGACTGATGTTTCAGAAGTCACCTGTAAGTCATGTATGAGTCAAAAATGAAGAGGATTTTTTTTTTTAGATGTTTCCACATGTAATGAATTCTGTGATACGTTTAAGCTGCACAATGTCCAACATCCAAAACTGGAAAAAAAAACAGTGTTCATTGAAAATGTTGCTTGTTGTTTGACAGCTTGCTTCACTATCAGCTCGAATTAAAATATAACTGTTTGTATTAATATATTGAGCCCAATGAATTAGTGATCATCTACAGTAAATGATAAACTGCTGGTGGTTTTTAAATGACTGCATGCGGTACATTTGCTGCAATAGTTGACGTGCTGCACACACCTCAGCACTCAGCGCTCCTGTAGTTTGCAGAAGGAAGAACATGCTGCAGGTACAGAGACAACAACAGCAATTAAAATTGGCTTTTTGAGAATGAAATCCCCCTTAGCTGCAGCTTATTTTTGATATTGTGCATTACTGTGTTGTCAAGCACTTACATTTTTTTTAATCCGTGAAAGGTGAGCCATAACATAGCTCAAATGTTTCCTGCAGACAATATTTTGCATATTTGTTGATGTGCAAATAGCAAGCTAGAATAAAATAAATAAGATAAATTCTACTTAGAGCCTTATTTTTAGTCTTTGTCTTATGTCTGTGAGTAATAACTTTATAGTTATAACAATGAAAGGAAACATGACATAGCTCATAATGACATCATCTTTTTCTCAGAGTCAGAAGACATAACTTTGTTTATCAACTCTGCTGCTCCTGTTGATTATCGTGTTTCATACTTTGTGGCGCTCTGCATATGTTTTTACATTAAAACAGCCTGTTTAGCGATAAAAAGATGGATTGGTTCATTATATATGATGCATTTTTACATTTGCCTTCAGGGAAATGTAAAATAGAGTTTTCTTTAATGGAAAAGTCAACAGGATATTAAGAGGCAGTTTGAATAAATTAATTAAAAATTAAATTTAATTAAAAATTAAAAAAAAGTTTTCATAGTTCAATGTATTTTACGCCGCAGCTGAATTGTGCAATTTGAATCCTTAGAGGAATTATCCATTCAAAACAAGTAGACAGTAATAACTTCAGCACTAAACCATATTCATAGAAAATACTGCTACTGGATCATTATGTTGCGACCAACGTATTTCTCGTTTAAGGCTGGGGGCGTAAGTAATTCCTCTCAAAAACATAAAGTATTCAGTAGATACATGAAGGTATCATTTGGGAAAAATTCCCAATAGAAAAAAAAAATTTTGTTTTTGTTTTACGTCTTCACTACTGTCAGTTATTGTGAAGTATACAATTGTAGTCAAATAAAATTTTAACTATGTAGGTTTATTATAGCAGGAAGTAACAAGCATGCAACATGCTGTTCTGAAGGTGGAAGGAAACCCACACTTAAACAAAACTCAGTTTCAGAAAATGGATGTAATGATGCAATTATCAATTTACTCCAAACTAGGTGCTTGTGTCCCTGCTACTCTACAAAAAAATAGCCAAAATCTGCTTTCACTCGTCCTTCTATTGGTGGAACTGAACTGCTGTTCTAAGACCGAACCCCTTTTCACTTAGAAATATCTATTTACATTCAATATGTTTAACTGAATTAGCTGTCACTGGAAATCATTCCTGTTGAGTAACGCACGGAGAATCTAAAGATATGCAGTATGATGAATAATCCCTGTTTTTTATCGTAATTGTAAAATTGCAAGCATGCCATCGTCTTTCAGACATGTGTCTAAACACACCCACGCACCATCACTCTTTTATCCTCCTTCAGTCCTAATTTTC